TTTGAATCTTTGCAGAAGTAGCAATTTGGAGCTGGGCATTGTATCTTCATAGCTGTGCTGAAATCCGATGAGGCACAGGCCAGCGCTGAATTACAGAGCACAGCCAGAGCTGGTAGCAGTCCAGTGGCTGAGCTGTAAATGATTAAAGGGAGACACCGTATGTGAGAAATCTCTTTTCATTTGTGCTTTCAGTGTTTACTTATGGCTGCTGGTTACAGGCAGGGACATGGGAGCTGGAGGTTCCTGGGACTGTTTTATTGGACAAGGCTGTGCCGCCATACAATAAAGTAAGAGGAGACACCATATACCTATGACTCTGTTCATCCAGCTGATTACATCTGAGGCTATCCAGTCTAGTTTTAATCCTTGAGGGCCTGCAGCGGAAATGAAAAACATGTTTAACTGAAACAATATTGGCTACCAGTGGTACTACAGCTTGTCTGGATATGATAGAGCAGATGAAGGGACACAAAGATAAAAGGAAGTGGAAAGGTGTGGCTGAAGCAGAAGAGGAAAATTCTCCAAAAATGTGTGAAAAAAATCATATTTTGTGGTCAAACTATGGTCTCTCAAAATTCTGATGAATGGATAATTAAAGAAAAAAGACCCGTTATATAAACGGTATGGTCACAATGAGCAAATGAATGATGTTTAGGAGAACTGAACAGTTTCATTTAATTAAACAACAATAATAATAATAATAATAATAATAATAATAAAGGATTCAAAAGACAAGTCAAATATTTCATTTCCCCTAAGGGTGAAGTTACTCTGCAACAGTTTAGATGAACCAAAATAAAACATGTTGACTGAACTCCAAAGAGTGGAAAAACAAACGGTAAATACAATAAATAATATATAATACAATAAACAAACTAAAGCGGATGCATTTCATAAACCTGATTAAAATAAAGCAAAGTAAGAACATTTAAGGTGAGGGGCAAAAACAAAACATTTCTCCGCTCCAGTGTAAACAGTACAAGCGTCACCCGACAAACGTGCGCGACTCCCTGTGATGAGCGTCTCCGCACCGACATCACCCACGGTGCCACAAACGAGCGCACTTTTGTTAATTACCTTCCATCGCAGAGCATGTGATGACCAGCACGCATAAGAGCGCAAGCAAATCCACTGACATGGCAGAAGGGTAATCTCCACAGCGTGTCCCCAAACAAGCAGGACGCACGGTGCGCGTCAAAAGAATCCCTTCAGTTGTCAGTGCGGTACTCCAGTAGACAGAGCCTGTGTTGTGAGTCACATTTCAGCCTCCGAGCAAACAACGTGTGACAGCCGGTGCAGGAACTGAGTGTAGTGCCTGAGTCTGGGGTGCGTGGTGCAGCGGGGTGTAAACGGGGCGGGGGGACCCGACATCGGCTGCTCACAGAGCAATTGCAGCGCTGGGGCCAATCATGGATCGGGAGCTGAAACTCACCAACCAATCCACAGGCCACCGCTCCGCCCAGCACGAATTATCAAAACACAAAACTTTTCCTTGACCTATTTGAAACGGCTTCCGCTACACTGAATGGAAATAGCGCCACCAGAAGGCCTCTCATAGGCATGACATGGTGATGTGTCACTGCTGGAGAAAAATGTTTTGGATAGTGGTTTATATCCAATATATCTGTAGATTTTACGCATATATATATTATTATATTCATATATATTTTGTCTTTTTTTCTGTTTATTATTAGTTTCAATGTATGAGCTCAACAATAAACAATAGTGCACACTATTACAAATATTATATTGTATTATAAATGATGTTGTGTTTTTTAGCAATTTTATTTTTAGTTTATCTTTATTGTTGATTAGATAGATAGATTTTTTTTCTACACTAGACCATACCATATTCCTCATTCAGACGTCAGTGGCATTTTATATGCAAACCCTTGCCCTCACATTTGGTCAAAGCCAGTGTTAACTTCATTTACAATGCAGATGTTCCCTAACAGTAGAGTCAAATTCAAGTGCACCTCCTGCATCTCTTACCCGGTGCCCCCTTTGTCTGCACGTGTGCTGCAACAGATGGTACACACAATGGCCATTTCCCCGTGGGGACAGGAACCAGGGAACCGGGGTCTGTTTCAGCAGAGGAAGGGGGCAGTTGCTGCCCTGTAGCCCAGAACCACACCTGTGTTGGGCAGATATGTCCCCAAGTCCCCGCAGCAGTGGAATGAGAAGGAGCTGTTAATCTACAACCTGAGTGGGTCTGGTTTTACCCCGGGCCACTGGATGGCCTAATACTTCACTGCTGTTTCTTCACACACTGGCCCAGATACTTGTTACTTGTTTCACTTCAAGAATGAAAAGTTAGACTGAGAATCCCAAGTAGTGTACTTTTAAATGGTGGTATATGTTCTACTTTACTCTTACTAATTTACATGGACACCAGAAGATGCCATGCAACGTTAGATACTGCTTAGCCAGATCTGGTTCCACTTCGGCAGCTCATAACCTTTACCATGACATAGATCAAATGCATGGTAAATTAGATGTGACTTCTATTGGTAAATGTTTGTTCCAACTGTTGCAATGCCAGGAAATAAAGTGGGGCAGGCTCAGAGCTTCAGGAGCATCAGGCAGAGGTTGTTAGCTTGGGGAAGGAGATGATGAGAACATTTGTCATTTTTAATGGCGTGGTGAGTAGCGGTGTGGTGGTGTGACATAGCACAGCACAGTGTGCCCCGTGGTGCTGGCTGCTTAGGCCTCTTATAGCCACCTGGTCTTATTTGTCACCAAGCCACTCTTCATCACCTATGACTCCGTGGGTCATCTCCAAATACAGGAGCAGCACAAAGCAATCTGTCCCTGTTTGCTGTCCACACCCGGAGGGAGATGGAAGGAAGGAAGGAAGGAAGGAAGAGTATAAGGGAAGGTTGGAACAATGATGCTGCCGTCGCTGCCACTGCTGCTGCTGTGGCACATCCTGCTCCACATTGCACACAGACAAATAATCCACACAATAACAACACGTGTGCAGTCACTCACCCACACAGCACTTTGATTATGATCCACACAAAACCACAAGAGCGCTTGGCTACTTTAGCTCAAGAGCCTCTGCTCAATACCTATGCTGAGTCCAAATGCATTGCAGAGACTCTTCTCCCTGTGGCCTGATTTTTTTCCACATGGTTAGTTGACAAGAGCAGCATTCCACTTCTATTTCTTTTCAACATTTTCCTTTTTTTTCAATTCAAGAGCCTTCTAGACAATAAAAGGCAAAACTACAATGTTGGATAACCTGAACCTGTTACATGTTTTTGAACTGAATTATTTTTCTTTTCACCTGACTTCAAATGTACTGTGTACCACCGGACCACTGCATCCTGACCTGATCATTTCCTGACTTCTGTTTGTTTGTTCACTGTACAGTGGACGTATAAAATGGATTCTAAAAGTAGACAACATCAAGAACACGTGCTTTACACAGACCCGACCAAAGTGCAGTTTTGACAAGATCCTGCCATTATTAACAGGGTTTACTGTATAGGAGTGCAGATGAAAGCTGGAGTCAGTGTCAGGCATGCATGTTTGCACCAGGAATACTGGATGACTGTAATGACACAAAAAGAGAAATTCAGAAACTGATATAGGAAAAGAGAGAGAGAGAGTTTTATGGAACATGGGAGAGACACAGCTTTGTCTGGTGATGAATATGAATGTATGAAAATGAAACGCCTAAGTCAATATGGAGACAGTGCAGGGACCAGTTTGACAGAGGAGTGCAGTGCTACACCCCCTGGGGGAACAGACTGGTTATTAGGCTGGATTGGAGCTTCATCCATCTTCACGAGTCTGGGCTCCGGCCGTTGACAATATGAGTGCAGAGCCCGGACTGAATACAGATGTTCTCAGGACTGGTGTTCCCCAAATAGAGGGTCAGAACTCACAAGTCAGTCTCAGCTATACTTTGGCTTTCTGGGTCACAACTCAAGAGACAACCTGGAAAATAGGTTCAGTCTAGGAGGGTGTTTGAGGTATAGTCAGATTTGCAGGACAATTGTACATTTTAGGATTACACCAATACTTCATTTTAACAAGGAAAATCTTAAAAATAAATCTTATCCTGGACGATTTTTCTTTGTGCACTGCTTGTCACTTTAACCTTGTTCGCAAATGTGCGGCATGTAAGTAAACATGTTTTTCCGACTTTCAATCACAGACTGGCAATGTGACAGCAGTTCAGACAGAGAGACTGAACTAGCACAGGAGCTAAAAACAGAAGTCTCATTAATTTACCACTGATGCCGAGACTGATGGTACCTCTCCCTATGAGCAGGGACACGCTCACTGCACAGGTCTCTGACATGGAGCAAAAAAAAAAAAAACAACAAGCACACAAGCATGTGATTGACAAAAACTGGGAACACCGCTGATCACAACCACGTGAGAGTTTGTTTTTGTGCAAGCAGAAAGTTAAGGAGAGAAGAGGGATTATCATCCACTTCCCCCGGAGGAGACGCAGTGGAAGCATTATTTGTTTTAAGTATCGCAGTTTGATTAATAAGTCGTGAGCTCATATTCATTCTATTCAGGACCCACACTCTTTAGTTACCATTAATCACCAAAACACAATGAAGAGATTCTGCTCAGTGCTGAATGTGTAAGAGCTTCATTACTGCATGCTTTTTGTCAAGGCTGTGAGTGCACTTGTGTGCATGAGAGAGACTGACAAGGGCTCCATTTGCACAAGGCTGGGTTCCTACTTGTGTGTGTGTTTCTGAGAGGCTGGGAGGGGGGCTGAGAGAAACACAGAATGGTGGATAATGAATCGGTGTGTCCCCCTGCTCAGTCACTGCATGCTCTGTCAGCTGCCATGTTTTTTTTCCTCTCTTGCAGACAATGTTTTGAGGAGCACGGGCTAAATCCATTTCTCAGAAGGTGTGAGCAGGCCAAAAACATGTGTGGGAAAAAGTGTGAAAACACAGAAATACTTATAATCCAAAAGCAGTGAAAATGTTCAGCCAGTCCTGTAACAACCTCTGATTTATTATTTGTCTCAATGGCAGTGCTGATTAAGACATATCCATTTGCTTGCGATCAAGGATCACTAATCACAGATGAGGTTAATGAGGTTCTCATTCACTCTACCGTTTTGTTTCACTCACAGCATTTAAGAAAGTTTCTCATTAACCATGTGGCCTCAGCCTCTTCTGTTGTTATACACCCTTCAAATTATGCAGCAGCCCTTTTAACCTCCTCCAAAAGAGGGGGCTTTAACCACAACAACATTTGACACATGGTAAATTGTTTTTGTATCCCTGAGTGTGTTATTGTGCCTCGGTCGACTGGAGAGGCTCGTGAAATGGTTTTCTGGCCACACGAGCAACATTTAAGAGCTGGACTCGTTAATGAGGAAAAACAAAACCAGCCTGACAGCTCATCACTATAAGTCAGCCAGTCAGAGCCTAGTCCAGTCGTCTAGTTGTTTGCTTCACAGGGACACCATCAAAACACATGCCTTCATCTCCTCTGGCCCCATCTTCTTCTCCCCTCCTGTGGCCCTTGACAGACAGTTCAGTATAATCTATCAACCTCAGTCATGGCCAGTCATTTGTAGAGCCACTGATGCACACAAGTCAAAAACACAGTACAGATCCCGAGGTCCGTTACGGTGAATTGGATTAACATCCGATGACGGAGAGGTACAGAAAAAGGGAGGTCAACTCAATCTGCCCTCTGTCTGCCACACATGGATCCCCTGTCATAGACTGACCTCAGCCAAACCAAGCACATTAAACTCCAGCGCTGTGTTTGAATATAAAAGTGTAGTCTTGGGTGTTGAGCTTCATGCAGTGAATAAACATGAGCTCTCTGTGAGGTCTGTATGTCTCCTTTACCTCTGGTCTGTTTATCTCAGCTGATTAGTGTGATCACACTCACCTGGGCCTTGCTCATCAGTCTCACTTAAAGATGTTAAATTGTATTCATTTGAAATCTCCGTCCTAAATTGAATTCAGCTGGAAGACTTCGTTTTGTGCTTTTTACTTGACAAATATAGTCGTGTGCAGCACTAAGCTATTGTACCTGGTGAGATGTCTGTAGGTAAAAATAGTAAAACAAATATGTTTATCTGACATAAACTCTTAGTCAGTTGCATAATAATTAGTTTTTGTTGCTTTACTGCACAAATATTCTTCTGCTCATTGCTTATGTAAGAAAATGTAAAATAGATAAATACAGAGCTAGAACCGCAAAATGTCAGTTATTTGCAGAAGAGAACACTCATTTCTGTTAAAGTGAAGACTTTTTTTGTGTTTTTTAATCAGTAAGTTGTTTTTCAACAGGAGTTGGAACTTGTCAATTTAAATTCATGTCATTATCAGTGACAGGCCATCTTATTAAAGCTTATTTTGTTTTGCCCTGCACTGTCTGTTCTTAATAATTGTTCTTCAAGGTAAAAAGCAGCTTTTAAGGTCATACAAATAATAAAAATAAAGAAAAAATAAACAACAAATTCCAGAGAAATTAAAATCCAGAAAATGAATTGTATAATCTGTATAATGATCACAGTGGACAGGCACACATGCAACAGCTGTGACGTCAACACAAGCAAATAAACACAAGGGCTGAGTTAACACAATGACCTTCTGCTATTAAGACTGACCTTTGAAAGCAATCTTTTCTCCCAGCATGCATCACCAGATCAATAAACATCACTGCCAGGTGAGGGCTCTGAGAATTATCGGCCTGTTGCAGGCGTAGTGATATGGAACGCTCACACACACACATACACACACGCGCAGACATGACTCAGGCACACAGTATGTACAGAGAATTACAAGCAGATTCTATGAAGCTTATGTCAAATGCTAAATGTCAAAATGGGGCTGCACCAAATGTGTCACATTGCTCACTGTGGTTCTACTGCACAGTTGCTTTTTCAAATCAGACTGCAGCACAGCGCCCTCTTGTTGGACCAGTACTTATGGTTAATCGGTGTTATGTCATTTTTGTCTATAGCCAATAACCACAGGTAGGAAAGTAACAGTTCCAAACCCATCTGGTTTTCTCTAACAGTCCCTTCTACACAGAGTTTTAATGGCTCAGTTTTTTCCTGGTTATTTAAGTTCACCCTCCAATAGCAGGTGGCCCTGGTTTATAGTTGAATCAACTCTTCCAATCAGAAGCACAGCCCACGACCAGAGTGTTTCTTAGTCAATGATTTGTGATCCAGCCCACAGTCCCCAGATCCTCAGCTCATTGAGAGTTTGATGGATAACCTGTCAGACAAACATTATTTCTGTATATGTGTGTGTGTGTGTGTGAGAGAGAGAGAGAGAGAGAGAGAGAGCATGCCATGACCCTTAATGAACCAATGATTTTCATGGGGGCCTTATGTGTTACAGGGTTAGGGGGCTAAATGTAAATAACGGTTCAGTTGAGGTCAAAGTCAACTAACAATCTGAATGGAAGTTTGAAAAATTTATTTGGAAAGTGCTTGGCTAGAGGATACCACACACATGCAAGCAGGGGCAGAATAGAAGGATTTTTAATTTGCTTGCGAACAGCAACATGATGAATTTGTCAGTTTTGGTTTCGTACTAATTTAAAAACAATATTCTTCTAAAGTGGAGCGCATAAAGTATAACATCTCTGTCATCACTGTAAACAAA